GAGTCCAATTCAGCTTTGCTGTAACTGGTCATGACTCCTGACTTCAACAATGCTTCATATGCTTACACCGAGTCTGAATTTATCCCCATGGCTTCTCGGTCACTGGTCCTCCCTTCCAACTAAGAAACTGCCTACATAATAAAAGTGATTCATTAGAAACCACTGGGTTCCAAAGTAGAGTGAACACTGAGACCTATAACTTTTTTATATGTGCTCAGTCATAAAAATGAATTTATATGGTCTTATTCCATAAACTCACTTTACAAATATTAGCCCCGCAACCATACTTTCATGAGCTGTAATCTTGTCAAAGCTCATAAGTTAAGCAAGGTCAGAATTGGTCAATATTTGGATGAGAATCTCTGGCAGGAAGGAGGCAAAAAGAAAAGTATATACTCGGGAAGTCCTGCAGTGTTTGTAGGTTAGGACATATTGTGGTCCTCTTTAAAAAGATTTGTCTTAGAATACAACAAAATTTTGTATTTGTTTTACAAATAGTTTAGTCCCTTGTACACATCTGTGTTGCATCTTGGCAGTTTTGCTAATATCCTTCCCTAGAGAAGAAGGTGATGTAGCAGATGAAGTCTTCTTCCCCCCACACCCCATTTCAACCCAGGAAGTTGGTACCCAGAGGTACAAACAAATGCCTCCACTGTTCCCCATCACCCTCTCCCTGAAGGGCTTTGCTTCTACTGTTGCTGTTTCTGGAGTCTACATGCTTTATCTACCAAAGCATACATCTCTATACACAAGGAAATGAGAAAAAAAAATAAAAAAAACCAAAAAACCGAAAACAAACAAACAAACAAAACCCAAAAAAAAAAATCCCCAACAAGCTACTCTGGCCTCCTTACCTTCTCACATAAATAACTCCCTCTGAGTATCTTATGCTCTTCCCCATTTTGAGCTCTTCTTCAGGCAGCCCTGCCCCTCTCCCCGGTGCACACAATGCAGTGCTGAAGTGTCTTTAACCTTTTCTTGTGCTGGAGGAGCTTATATGTAAGCAGAGCTATACCTTGGGAAAGAATGCTGTGGGCAGAGTAGTACACAATCCTAAAAGACATCTAAATAAATGAAGGAGCTAAGAAAAAGACACTGCTACACGGTAACTTTCTGACAAACAGCTCAGTCATGCATCTGAGGTAACACATGGATGCAGAAGGGAACTGCAAACCTCTCTGGTTTTTCCTAATGCTGGAGCAGGCAGTGCCTCCCCCACGCTTTATCATTCTGCGACTAAGAACAGCTTTTACAGTAAAGGGGATGGAATGGGAAAGGTCACCGATGCCCTGCTGTGTAGCAAGGCAGCTGCACTGCAGTGGAAAGACTGCAAGTGGGCAGTGAGGTCCCAGGCCTCGGGGAACAGGAGGTCCCCCCAGGCAGGGGTTCCCTCTCCCCCTCTCCCGGCTGCCTGCCAGCTCCCAGCCTGCCCACCGCACCAAGCAGGGACCAGGAACACGGCGTTGCTGCAGCTTCTGACTTTGTGTGGTGGTATCCCATGTCAGACAGCTGGTGAAGACCAAGCCTTTCCCTAGCAAGGCAAGTAATAAATAAGACATTAAGAACCTAGACACCAAATTAGACAGATCATGAGCAAAGCTGTTTGTGAGAGGCATGCATCAAAAATAGTGGTACGGAGGAGCAGTACATCAAGGGGTTCTCATGCAATAAAATGGAAAGCAAAAACTGCAGCCAGGAGGTGGAAAACTCTGACAAGGCTACAGCCAAATAAAGAGCTTTGGGAATAAATTGGTGGTTTAATCCGGATCAGGAACAGGTGCAATGAATGTAATTCAGTAAATGGTCCAGACCCTGCCAGAAGGGAGAGAAATGTGTTGCTTTTGAGATAATTTCCCAGAAGCTTCATAAAAGCAAATTGATTACTGGAGTTTAATAATTAAAACAGGGCCAGATATATAGTAATCAAATGAGTTTTTAATTACATCTCAAGAAGAAATAAAATCCAATTTGTGCACTTTGTATCAGAGAAGCCCTACTGAAATGCTTTGGTAGCTGGAAAAAATAAAATAAAAGCTAATTTCCATAGGAATTATAGTAGTCAGTTTAATTAAAAGACTAGATCAGAATGAAAAAGTCCCAAAGTGAAAGGATACTAAATACAGAAGCAGTGCTTCAAACATCAAATCAATGTCTGAATAAAGACATTTTATAGACCAAGTGCAAAATCTGCACTGTCAAGTATCACTAATCTAAATTAATGTGTAACAAAATAAAGTTTCTTAAAATTACACTATATATTTTGTACGCATTCCATTGAATTAATTGCTGGTGCTATGGTAAAAATTAATATCAAAGACATGGTTTACTCTTTCTTAAATACTCCTTTTAATCTATTTCATCAAATTTAATGTTAGTAGTTAACCGTTCTTGTTATTTACCTGGTAGCTTCTGTTGCACCTGGACTATTAGACTCTAATGTCCACTTAGACCTATATTTTGAAGAAATATATGTGTATTTACTTACAGATTTAAAATATGTTTACAGCTCATAAGATAACAGTGATTACCATAGAACTGTGGGAGTGCTTCCTGAATCTATTCCCAGCCTACTTGGGCTCCTGCTCCCTGCTGTAGTTGCTGCAGAGCTAATTGCTGTACGCACCTCGAGCACCCGCAGCCATCCTGGCACAGTACGTGTCAGGGCTGTCTCCTGCCATAAGCCATGGCAGATGCCAAGGCCTGGAGGGACAGGCACAGCACGAGGTCATGCCCAGACCTCTGCAATTGCTCCCTGGCACTAGGCTGGAAAGCATCATGGTCTTGTGGTCAGTCTTGGCAAAAAAGCAAGGTCACAGAAAGGACACAGACATAGTGGAGAGCTGCACAGCCACACTGAGACAGAGTCTGCAGTCCCAGTGAGCTCCGTCTTCTCTATGCTGCCTGTAGCTGCTATAGGTTCCTGGGTATAGTGTATATATTAGTGTATATATAGTGTGTATATATAGATATATACAGGAACAGCCTGTACTGCATTTTGTACTTACACATCCTAGGGCTGACAGGATGTGAGTGCAGAACACCTTTGTGCTTAGAGAGGTTTGAAGCATACTGATTTTTAAACAGTGATTCAACCACCGGGTTGTTGGCTTATATATTTTAATTATTCATTTACTTACTTACTTATATTTAAATCTGAGGTGTATATTGGAAAAATACTTCACAAAATCTTTTTGAAGACACTGGCCTTGTGCAGAAAGGATCTGATACGTTGCTGTCAAGGGCTGAGTATCTCATGTGCTACCTCTGGACACTGAGCTGACAGTGGTAATGCAGGTGCTGATGGTAATGACAGTGAGCTTTTCAGATACTTTCAGCTGTTTATAATGCATTACTGCCCCTCTGTTTTAGGCTCTACCAAATCAGGTTTAAGGAATACACAACAGTCTGAAATAAAGATATAAAAATGCTGAGTTGTGAGGCATGGTAATGGGAATGTTAAAAATCCTCATCCATTCTATAAAATAAATGACCATCAGTGGAACCAATGCTCTGTGGGGCAGAGACTGCAGTGAACCCTGTCCCTTACCCCAGGCCCAAGATTGCAAAATTATCTGTCCAGTCTGGGCCATATTCTAAGGAAATAATTTCAAGTGGATTTGATTCAAGTTCCAGCTTCTTCCTCATTATGTGATTTTTTCTAAGCACTAAGCATTCATATTTCCTACCGAAGTCAACTGAAATTGCAAGTTTTCAGCACATCTTAAAATCAGGCCATTAACTCTTAATTATCATAAAATAGCTCAATTAAAAATCTACCAAGACTTCAAGCCAAGTTCCCATGGCTTGCAAGCTAGCTATAAAAAAATCCAGTTCTTTAGTGGTATCTGGGCTCTGGGGACCATTTAAATCAGTTGCTGCTAACCCTGCTATTTATAGCAAAAACTGATCAACTGCAAAGGTACCTGCTTCCCTTTTCCTTTTGTTTTCTTATAATTTTGTGCACCTTCAGAAGAACAACTTTTGCTGTTTTCTTTGTCCTTTTTAGTTTTTAATCTGGCACCAACCCCTTTTTTCCAATGACAATTACAGTTTCCATGTTATAGGAGTAATCATGCTGCCCAGGTCTCAGCAAAAGCTACTGCTTGCTAATCAGAAAAACTGCAAAAGAACACTCCTCTGTCCTGAAAGGACACATTACATGACCACTTGGGAGGCAACTGGTTAACCCTTTCCTGACATCCACTGCCTCTGTTAAGTTCTGTCTTTCTTTAATATAGATACACAAAACAAGTGAACCACTTGTGGACTTTGCATATAAACAGGTTATATTAAAGGAGAAGGTAAAATAAACCTGTAGCAAAGGTATGCAGGAATTTCATAATTTGGGGATGTATTCAAAGACAGATGAAACCAGACTAAAGATTCTTACTGGCCTCTGTGAGCTTTGGACTGGATATGTAGAGAAGAGATGATTTCAGTGCAGCCTCAAACCAAAGAAAACTCATTTATATTTCTTTCATTTGAGCACACACTAATTGTTTTTTCTGCCAGCTTGGGAAAGCACAATATAGTTGTGGTTTAGTCGTCTAGAGGATAAAAGAATATAGCACTAGGGAGATTATTTTAGTTTTGTCCAGCTTGTCATCCAGCCAGTGGACCTTCCTGCTCATAGATGCCATAGCTGGTAGTCTCAGGCACGTGGGGATCCCTCAAAAGGGCTATGTTTAAGGATTGAAAGTAGTAAAAGAAAAGTTTTTTTACTTAAAAAAGTAGCTGAGTGGCGTCTCTGCCATCTTACATGCCTTTTTTTACATTTTTGGTGGCTTAAAGCCTTACGTAAAAAAAGTCAGATAGATAAAGAGGACTCAATGGGAACAATAAATTTACCTCCATAGGTATTTACATTTGGGAGTGGGGAGGGTAGGGGCATAGTGCAGATTAAACTCTTTTTTTCCCCTGCTATGCTGTGGACTGTCCTTAAAAGAAGTGTATATACTATCACTATTTTTTCTCTCATCCTCTTTTTAATCTTCTTTCAGTGTCTAGTGAAGCTGAATGTGAAACTGAAGCCTATGCTGGACTCCGTGGCAGTAAATAGAGGTAAATGGGAGGAGATGCACCAAAAAAAACTTCCTTCTCAGGCGGCATCCTTGTCCTCCTTTTCCTCTAGCTTCACCATGTCTCTCAAAGACATAAATTAAGCCTGCAAATATCAGTGTCACTTTACAGTAAGAGCTGTCTGACAGGTTTTCATAAGCTTAGACCCAGCATTTTTTAAGAAATGCTTTCCCAGACATGCTTAATTGATCGGATATTATCTTGATGGCAGCGTAGTTTTCTTTTCCTGGAAGGCTTAGTGGGACTGAAGGGAAGCCTGCAGAGGGATTGTGCTGGTATCTGGAGCGACACGGAACACTGAACAGAAGAAGCGTTCATTCAGCTCCACTTCATTTCAACTGCTGCTGTAAAAATCTGTAAAGCTGACAACAGACTGAAATATAAGAACTTACAGCTTAATAAAATTAATAATACAGAGCAGGACTGGGATGCAAACCGGTCAATTCATATGCAAGGAGCTGCAGAAAACAGTAGTGTGTAATTACATTGTTGTTTTGCATCTCTTCCGTACATGTTATGAATCAATTATGCCTGCTTTTGTGATGCTCCTCTCTTACTCTCCCTCCTCTTTTATGCTTGAATGTTCTGAAAAGCCTGCTTTGTATTCTGAAGAAGTATTTTTTTACAACAAAGCTTCTTAGTGATTGATCAGGGCCTTTAGAATTGCCTACCTTTGCTACATTTAAAAACAAACTTTATTATCTTTAAAAACACCAAGCTGTCCCTTCTTCCCTGAGAAATTCACATTAACAGTGCAGCAGATTTCTCAGCAAGAGGAAGTTTGCATAAAGGCAAAATATTGCATGGTAATTTTAGAGTGTTTCTTTTTCCTTTTAAAAAATGCTCTTGTAACGCCATCATTTTTTTAAAAATTATAGTATCACCTAAGGAAAAGATTAATGGTTTTTTTTGAAAATAGAATACAAATAAAAAAGGAAATCTGTTGCTTTGTGCTTCAGGTTTATATTATATTGAAAAGCAGACCATGGATAAGCCTTTCTAGCATAATTTCCAGTTGAAATTAGGATCTTGAAATGGTGAAGAGGTAGAATATCATCACACTGGACTGACTATCCCTTACAGTCTTGCAGTTCTTTCAGTTCAATTTCAAATGCTGTTACTACAGGTAGCACAGCACTAGTCAAGGCTCACATGTCAACATCTGTGGTAAAGGTGTCCCTAAAAATCTAATCAAATATAATGGGTCACAAAACCAAACATGTCTCTGTGTGATGACCCTATTATTACCTGAAATTTGGTCTCCTTCCATTAGTGCCAAGATCATTAATGCAGCAAACCTGTGATTTGAGTGTGCTTTCTCTGCTGCATGACCAGACACAAGAGGAATCATGCTGCAGTGCTTGTGAGTGCCCATTCATAGCAGGAAAAAAAAACCAAGCGCCTTTGTACTCCATGAAAAATGGGATTCTAAATATAGGATTGTCTGGCAGCAGAAATTAAAGCTGATTTCAGCTTAGTATTACACCTGTGCCAAACTCCATTTCCTTCAGTGGAATTACCTTGAACTGGCACCAGCTTAATGGAAATCAGAACCTGGCCCAGCTGACCAGATTCTAAAAGGGCTTTTCTCCTTTCTACGGAAACGGAGCTCTTAGAGCCTTAGAAAAGCTGACTACATCTGTTTCACAATCAAACAGAAACAACAAATCTGCTGATCCCTTCTTCAAAAGAAACACAACAAAAAAAAAAAGCTCTGTGCTTCTAATGGTGTGTAGGACAATAGCTGGAAATTCAGCAGCATTGCGAACCAATCTGTTAGTGCACAACTGAACCACATCACTCTCTCGCAGAAGGAAGCAGGGAAGGGGCAGAAATGCAAACTGCACAGCAGTGAGAACATGCAGCAAATGGAAATGTTTCTGCTGTCCTTTTACCACTTCTTTCTTCTCTGAATAAACCCAGATGCGGTTTAGTAAGCAGCCAGCCGTACAACACGTCCTTTATGGGAAAAACAGACACTAGGAACTGGCAGCACTGCTGGCAGGTACACATGGCTTTCCTGAATTTTGATATTGTATATTGCTAAGTATAACATAATTTATAATGCATACCCTACAGCCTCCCCAAAGGTTGAGTCTCCCCTCATTTCCTCTCCTTTTTATTGGCTTCAATGCACTGTTGCCCATGGCAACACCCACTGGCAGGGATGGGGATTTGCAGCACCGCAGCCTGACACACAGCTGAAGCCCTAACAATGTCAACCATCAATCAAGTGACTGTTTGTAATTGCCTCCATCTATTTCTCCTGTCTTTTGGTATCTTTGCCATTGGGGGTCAAAATTCAGAAACTGCTGACTAATGTTATGGTTCTGTTCCTCCATCACAAGGAAGAAAATTAGAGCACACGGCTCGATCTTATCAAATTGTTCTCATGCAAAATGAAACAACCCCACTGAAACTGGGGGGGCCCAGTAGTGCATCTCAGAACAGCATTCGGCCTCTGAAAGTCATGTAGCTCAATCTTAAAAAACCAACTAACTAAACAAACAAAAACCTTACATTCTTTTTTAAGAGTTAGCTTAGGAAACAGCAAAGAAAATGTAACAAAAAGATGATTCTTTGTGGAAGCATGTAGTACAGTAAAGAAATGTATTTCAAGTCTATTATATCTTAAGATTGTGGGAAACACTTTTTAGCTACTGCTTATAAACTTGATGATCAGAAATTGTATCTGCTTTTTATTATTTCTGATAGGCAAACAATTTCCCAGTATTTCAATCAGTTCTGCCAAACTCCCTGAGATATGCACCAGAGACATTAGTGTGTAGGATCTTTAATCTCCTTCTCTTTTACTTGCTTCCCTGCCTGCTGAACAGGGAGAGATTAAAAAGAAAAACCAAACAAACATTGAAATCAGCCTAATTCTTTGAAAGCATATAAAAGACAAATCCACAAGAAATCAAGAGAACACATGGAGAACACAATTGTTACCCAGGACAGTGCTGCTTGGCCTTTCCCTTCAGATGCCCAGCACACCAGCAAAAGACAAGTCACCATTTCTTTGCCCCACCTGTAAGTGGAAATCTGGCCTTGAACGAGGCCTCTAGCATTTACAATTCCAGTGCTAAAATTTGATGGGCATGTGGATTTTCCATAGGACATCCAGAGGTGCTTCAGGCTGGTTGTGGCAATGCCTTTTTTCTAGGTGTCCTACTGACTCGTGCCAGCTGCAGCCTGAATTCGGTCAGGTTTCTAAGCCTGTGAACTACAGGCCTTGAGGTCTCACAATAGCCAGGCAGCAGCCTTAATTTTGTCACCAGAAAATGCTCAGGAGAAGACCTGGGACTTCATCCCTATCCTCAAAGGTAGTTCAGGCCAAACAGTAATTTCACTCAGGATACCCACTTGTGAAACCACTTACCAAAATCACCCTTTCCTCACAAAAAAAATGAAACCCAAATAAAACAATAATTTTTAAAAACCCAAATTTTTTAAAAAACGTAAATGTTCTACAATTGCAAAGGCTAATCAGGAAGGAGCTTGACATTCAAATCCTGCTTGATTTCGAGCAGCCTTCTGAACTGCAGGTGCACTTGCCCCACCAGCTGGTGGTGAGTAACAAGGGTGGGCTTGTCTCCTGCCCTCCTGCCAAAGCCCCTTTCATGTGTTCAGCAAGGAGAAAAGGATGCCCCTTGGGTACAGCCCGGATTTTGGCTTCACTCCTGGGAGGGACACGGAGCAGGCAGGCTTTGGTGGAAGAGCTCCAGTCTTGTGTGTGCACTCCCTTGGACTTGTGAGCACACCGGAAAACCAAACACTGTTCAAGGCAAGGAGCACCTGGGGTAGAGACAGAAGAACCTCCCAAGAACAAGATGCCCAAAAGGTGTCTTTGGCCATAGGTCAAGTAGTGAAACCAGACAATTCCCTCCCAGCCTGGGACCTACAGGCAAATAAGAACAGCTTCATCATGTGATGGAGATGCGGACTCAGCTTGTAAGGACATGACTTTGCTCCTGCTCCGAAGCAGAGCTGCACAAGGCCAGGCAGCAGTAGCTCACTGAGGTTTAAACTGGATGCCTCATGTGGCAGGTGGGCACAGAACTCTCCACACAGCTCTGTCTCAGACAACCCCTACTATTTACAGGGCCAGGGGTCTTGCCAAGAAGGTCAGTTGTATGTTTGGTAACCACAGCATAGACAAGTGTGTTTCCTTTTAGCTCAGGTATTTCTGCAGATGGTGTCCTTGGTACAGCAGCTGCATTTTTCTGGTCTGGTGACCTTGCTAATGGCTCCTTCTTAGAGTGCACTGCAATCTCATAATGTGCCTGTAGTTATCAACAAAGCCAATACTAGTACTCACAAATTATTTTTGAAAACTGCAACCAGCAGTGCCTAATGCCATTTGTAATATTTAGATGAATTCGTCCTAGTGGAAAACCAGGAGTGTTTCAGTCTGCAGGCCAAATACTTATTTTCCCTTTGTAAAATTAAAACAATTTTAGTTCCTGATAAGTCATTTGTGCGTTGAGAGAAATTTTTAAACAGGTTTATTTCAAAGCTGTATAAAACACACTAACAGGCACTTCAATGCCTAGAGTGTTATGGGCAAGAAAATACAGAGGAAGAAAGTTTTTTTACTGTCTTTTTCAAAGGAAGAGTTTTCAAAGAGTTAAAATCATGTGAACGGTTTCTAACACAGCAATGAAGTGGGATGTATAATCTGCTGAATTGAGATGCCCCAGAGACTCCTGTCACTGGAATGTGCCACTATTGGAATACATCCTGTATATTGCTTGCTACTTTTTCTTTCTTGGATTAATTTGTATTTAATTACAAATTTTTAAGCATGTTGGCCATTGCATCTTAGTTTTCTGGGGAATACCATTATAAACCCTAAACCTCTACCTATGGGAGACAGCTGACAGATGCACAGAAATACCATGTGTCTGTTCTAAGGCGAGTGAATCCCAGATACTTGCAAAATGTGTAACTTAAAAGACTTCTGCATAATTTTTTTTTTCTTTTTACCTTAAACCATTACTCTTATTGTTTTGCTTAGTAGTTCAAACTATGCTGGTTCAGCTTTCAGAGCATGCTTTTGAAACTAGCAACTTGGGTTTAC